GAGGGAGGGAGGGAGGGAAGGAGGGATGGGAGGGAAGACAGACAGACAGACAAGACAGAGGGAGGGAGGGAGTCTCCCTACCAGAAGAGAAGATCAAATCACACAAGCTTTGAGCACCTGAGTAATCTAACCAGCGGGTTCCATGACATGCTTCCTCCACTTGCCTTTAAGAAGAAGAAGGACACACCACTTCAAATTGCCTTGAAGATGCTTCATCTCAAGCTAGATCCTAGCTATAAGGAGCACTTACTTGTAACTTGGTCCATTGAAATAAAGGTCCTTCTTCTAGGGTGTTAGCTTTAAAGATAGAGAAACCCATAGAACTGAAGGTAGCGCATTTTCTAGACGATCTGCAAATCCTGTTGCCAGTCACAGGGCAGAAGAGTTCACATGGAAATTCACTGATGACCTCAAATCCTTTAGCTGACTATGGCGATCTCCTCCACCTCCTCTCACCCTGTCTTTATGCATGCAAGTGTATATATGTCGTAGGATGGGCACACCACTAATTAGTTCTTTCTCTTGCTTCCTCATTATCGCTAATGAGGAAGAAGAGATTAAGAAGATAAAAGGCCAAGAAGGAAAGGCAAAAGAGAAGTCAAAGCTGCTTTTCCTGCCTAAAATGACCATCAGGTTTAACCAAGAAGTGCCAGCCTCCCTGTGTCTCCTTGGAAGCCAATCTGAACTTGACCTCTGCAAAGCTGGCTGTCCTAAATGCCAAAGTTGCTCAAGAGGACCCCAACTCTATGAAAGAGCCAGACCAGTACCAATGTCACAGACAAATGCAGAAGGAGATGGACGTGAGCTTCCTTCAGCTTTAGTTTAGAATGGGAGTGTAAAGATTTACTAGGGTAGCTGGACTCACTTCTTAAGAAGTTTCAGTGACTGGAGCTGGAGTGACCGCTCAGCGGTTAAGAGCACTGACTGTTCTCCCAGAGGACCTGAGTTCAATTCCCAGCAATTCCCACATGGTGGCTCACAACCGTCTATAAATAAGATCTGGTGCTCTCTTCTGATAGAACACTGTATACATAATAAATAAACATATTTTTTTTTTAAAAAAAAAAAGCTTCAGTGACAAGAAAAGTGATACACGTTCTTGATGAGTTGGTTGACTACAACTTGGCATTTATTTAGAAAGCACTGTGTATTCTTGCAACTAATCCATGCCATGACAAGGGGGAGAAAAGAAAGATGGGAGGCAGGGAGACAAAGAGAGAAAAGGGGAAAGTGGTGGAGGAAAGAAGCCAGGGGAAGAAAAACCATTAAGGCGTGGCAGGGAAGAAACATGGTTATCTGTGTAAGACAGCATGTGGATTATGGACCCCGGGTCCTCTGCAACCCCTGTTTATATGTCCAAGTTCTAACCCTGCTATCTTGCAATGTAAGTATATTTGGAGAGAGGGATTTATAGGAGAGTTGAAGGTGAAAGTAGGCTAGTCAAATGTGCTCTGATTCAATGTGATAGATGTCTTCATAAATAGTTGACCACACCAAGAAATCATGAGAATAAAAACATATGACGGCTGCCATCTTTCAAGCAAGAGGCCTGAAGAAGCCAATCCCGCTGCCATCTTGACCTTGGAGATGATAATTGAACATAGCCTCGGAAGCTGTAAAGATTAACTAAATCCACTCATGTAAAACAGTTACAGCAGCACCTGGCATGAAATGGGCCCTCGAGAAGCGGCAACTGAGGTAGTTACTGATAAAAAGCTTCGGACCACATCAGGAGACCTGGTGAGACACACTCAATTGTTGTTAACAATAGTGTCGCAATGAAAACCTCACCACCAGCATCCTAGATGCCCTCGCGTGGGCGACCGAGCCCCTTGGGGGCTTTCATTCTCCTACTTGCTTCATTTCTGCCACGCGCTCAGGATTCTACAAGGAAGCAGTTCCTTGGTTTTCACTGGGAACAGAACTGCAAGTGGCACACGCTATTTAGCAAGAGCTCTGGGCTGGCCACCTTCAAACTCATAATCATCGGCTCCACTGACTCGGGGAATGATTTTCTGAGGTGCCCTCACCCCCTGTAGCTGGGCGAGTTGAGGAAAACTAAGACAGCAGCTCTCTGGTACCCTGGCCTCTCCGTCTCCTGGGAGCTGGAATCAGGTGAGGAGAGAGAGAGGACAAGAGAGCAATGGGTCCTTTCCCAAGCCTGCCAGAGGCAGAGAGCGACTTCCGCTTCACATTCCTGAGCCACAGCCAGTGAAGAGCAACAGGGTATGAAATCAGCTATTTTTTTTTTAAAGTACAAGTATATTCTGTTAATTTGGGTTATCCACGCCATTCTGTGATACATTATGCCCTCTCTTCTGAAGACTAAGGGAGAGGTATTTTGTTATGGTTGTTTGTTTGGTACTGGGGGAAGAATTCAGGGTCCTTTAAACCAGAAGTATACGTTCTCCCATTGAGCTACACTTGGAGGCCTAAGACATGAGTTCTGATTCTATGATTTAGCAGGTCAGTTCAGGCAACTTCTATTAGGAGGGACATGGAATTGAGGGCAGCGGTGCCTGTGATGCAGCCTGTGCCTGCTCATGCCACCTCACAAGGGAACACTGATCAGAATGACCCCTATCTATTAACTCAAACAACACTGCCTGCCATCTCTCATTTCACATCAGCCCAAACGGTCCACGTAAATAAGGTGCTTTGGGTTCCTTGAAGGAAAGGGTCGAGGCCATCGAAGGTACCATCTAAGTAGATTCAGATACAGTAAACCTGGGGTGGGGCTGGAACCCCAACATTTCTAACAAGCAACACCGAGTTGATGCTTAATTTCAGGCCACACTTTGAATTATACACTCAGAGCAACTGAATCATGAGTGCCTAACATATGGGTTCTCTGGGGACAGTGCGAGGAGCCCTGCTTAGGCATCACTTAGGGGTCTGTCAGCTACTGTCCTGTGCCAGCCAGTTGCTCTGGCAGTGGGACCCGGCAAGCCTTCTTATTTGCTTGTTTCTTTGTTTCACGGTGCTAGGGATGGGAACCAGGGCCTTGAATACACTAGGCAGACATTCCAGTAGTGAGCTAAAGCCACAGCCCAGCTAATAATCTGATGGTGAGTCTGGAGCACAGTGAGACAGTTCAAAACTCATTGCTTTAGGTGAACTTTCAATTTTAATGTCTACTGCTATATTATATAAATCTAGAGCAGCACAACTTACAGTATTGAGGACTATCTGTAGAGAGAAGATGATTACATTCTTCAGAAGGAGCAGCGTGTGGCCAGACTTTTAGGATTAAGGGGCTCAGAGTCTGGTCATCACTGTCACTTACAATTCAGGTGACATCCTGAATGTCACTTCCTTCCTCTAAAAAACAAGAGGCTGTAATACTTCTCCTATCTGCCTATCTAAAAAACCAACCAAACAAACAAACAAAAAAAAACTATTACATCAAAAGACCTTGTCTTGTAAACTACAAAATTCTATCTAAATCAATGGTTAAGCTATGATGTTCATCTAGGCGGCAAACTTAAGTCATGAAAGCATAAAGCTATGTAACTCACCTTTAAAGGTCATTTTCCCCTGGACTTTCAATAAGTATACATTAGTTTCTCAGGAGGCCCACATGTAGGAGCCTAGACAGGATACTATTCCCCCAGCCTCGTACCTCCTGCTTCTCCTCAAGTTGGAGGAGGAGGAGTGACCCACTCTGCCCTGGAGATTTGAGTGATTGTAGAAGAAATATGCTTGCTCAAGAGGATCCTTAGTAAAATAGACAAGTTTTGAGGCTCCCTAGCATGTTGGTCTACATCATTGTGCCCCTGAAAACATCTAGAAGTCTCAGCCTAAGGATGTGATCCTAGACCTCTTTCTTTCCATAGAGCCTCTCCAATTTCTAGATAACATTTTGGTTTTTCTAGTTCTGATCGAAACTCTTGCTGTAGCCCAAGCCTAACAAACTACTCCTGCCCCATCAAGCCTCCATTAACTCCAGACATGACTGTGTCAAACATTAATATACACAAATTCAAAATCACTTGGCCATAAGGGCAAAGACTTAGGAGAAACATTGGACACAAATTCAAATCCCTTGTCCATAAGGGCAAAGACTTAGGAGAAACACTGGATAGCAAAGGAGTAAGCATATACTGATTTAGATGTTGCTGATTCATTTCTAGAAGAGACAACTTACCAGCCGGGTATTTACCACAGGAAACAGCAATGCCAGGAGAGCTCCATTCAACATGTGCATCTGTAACCTGTAGGAGAAAGAAGAGCAACAGGTCACGAGAGAGAAGAAAATGCTGGAGGTTGAGCTAAGCCATGTGGGAGAAGTAGCCCTCTGTGTAAAACGGCCTAAGAGCTCACCCCAAGGCAAAGGATATGAAAATCAGTACATTTTGTGTTTATTACCTGAAACACATACTGCCTCAGAACCCCCAGACACTTCTTGAACACACTGTGCATTACCTACCAAGGTCTGTGTTTCCTAAACATTCAGTCAGCCCCAACCAATGGTTCGAACTGCTGCAGCATTTGAAAAGTACAACAGCTAAATGCTTCTTGTTAGTATAGAGGCCTGTTTATTAGAATGCAGCTGCTTGTTTAACGAGCTATGGTCAGTCTTTCCGCCAAAGACCTGGACAGAAAGTGCTGGTACAAACTAGGGAGCTGTCTATGAGGGTCCATACCGACATCCAGGAGGCAAGCTTCCAGGAACACTTGTGAGGAACTATCCAGATTAAGGTTAACTTGAGAATGCCTGGGATGGACTATCAAAATCGTGTTAGCTGAGGTGGGAAGACCCACAGTGACTGTGAACAGGACCATTCCCTGGGCCTGGGATCCTAGACTCTGTAAAACAGAGATGGAAAACCGAGCTGCACGTATTAACTGATTGCTCTTTGCTCTTGGCTGTGGATGTAATGTGAGCAGTTCTCTCAGGTTCCTGCTGCCTTGACTTCCCGACACTGAGGGAGTATAACATGGAATTGCGAATAAAATAAGTCCTTTCTCCCTTAAGTTCCTCTTGTCAGTGTGCTGAACACAGCAACAGGAAAAGAAACTAACGGGATCTGCCTGCAGTGTGGCACATACTGTTTCCCGGCTGTCTAACCACACCTTTAGTAGCTGCTGCAGGAGGTGGGGAGGACAAACAAGGAAACCCTCAGGCGTTCTCTGATCTGTGTTATATATGAGATCCTGTTGCTTAAAGGCTAAGCAGTGCTAGGGCCTCAGCTTGGTGGAAGAGCACTTGATTAGCCTACATCACAGCATCCCATCCCTCGCATTAACAGAAGAGGGGAGAGGGACGGAGGGAAGAGAAGAGGAACACCAAGCAAGGATAGTGTTTCCGGGTCTCAATAGCAGACTTCTTAAAATGCACACTACACATCCTTCCTGAGTCAAGAACAATTAACCCGGGAACAAGCCCTTCTTGTGAGGGCTCTGAGGGGGGATTTAAGCAGCTTTCTTCACCATTCTGGGTTCTTACTTGAGAGAGAGACAAAGAATGAGTTTGTTCCTCCTGAAGAAAGGCTGATTTGATGGGTCATGGACAACCTGAACTGTGCCTCTCAGACACACAACAGTAAAAGCACTAGCTGAGTAAGACACAGCTAAGTAAGATACTGGATGGCTTCTGAGTCACTCCCCTCCCCGCACCCCTGCCCCGATAGGCACACTAGTCCTAGGACAATAGATCTTGAAGAAGAACCTTACTAGGCATGTCCAACTTTAGGCCATGGGCTACATGTGCCAGGTATAACTAGAAATGTGGTACAACAAAAAGTCATCAACTTAAAACATAATGAGGGCACTTCTGCTATTGTTTCTGTAATGCAGTTGTGTGATTTTCAAAGGAGAATTTTGTAGATGACAATATTGTGTCAAGGCATCCAAAGTTAAAAACACCTGCACCTAGACATTTGGCGCTCCTCTCCTAGCTCACAGAAGTGGCCTGTGTAGCCCAGAGGATGGCACAGAAGCCCCAGATTGCCTTTCATTCCTCCTAATCTGTTTCTTTCTGCTATTCTTTGTCACCAAGGCCTCAATGATGGTCATGATGCTCACTCAATACATTTCAGGAAAGTATCAAATGAATTGCTTTGTGTGAACTTTCTCACTTAATTCTGATAGCAAATTTCTAAACAGGCACTGTGACTTGCCAACATTTTGATATGGAAACCAAGTTCACTCAGAAAAGTTAGGTGACCTGCTCAATGCCAGGACTCACACTCAAATCTATCTGCTATCAGACTTCAAACTCCCATCATTTATCACTGTCGTATATCAGCACCTCCCTCCCTCCCTTTCAAATATGACCTCAGATAAGGTGGAGATGTGCCTCTGTCCTTCCTTTGGTTCCAGGCATCTCTCTACCTCCTGCATAATTTGTCCTAGATTCCATATGACATTGAGGGTGGTTTTTAGGGTAAAAGACTCTCTAGACATACAGGTTATTAAGAGTAGGCAGACCAAAGCAATGCCACTTCTTTACCTCAGGCTGACCAGCAGAGTTTTCAGAAAGGCCACCCAGACACCCTGCGCTCTGGAAAAGTGATTTTAGGTCTTGAGTAAAGTCAACTCTGGCCTAACATTGCCACTTAGCCCTCTTCTGTGACAGCCACAGTGTAGATTCATGCTGGGAGAGGAAAAGTCGCATCGATGACCCATGTACCACTAGAATCCAGGGCCAGGCTTTGCCACTGACCTCAATGGAAAGATGATATTTGTACAAGGCCAGTTAGCCATTTGGATATCAAAAGTTACAACTTAGGGATGACAGAATGGATTCTAAGGGCCCATGGAAGGCCACTGATAAAGATAATATCAAGTAATATTATTAGACTAGTGATAAAACTAATATGAAGATCAAAAAAATCCCATATAACGGCAAGCCTTGTTTGAAGTTCTCAAAATTCATTATAAAAGGAGTGGGGGGGGGAGGCGCGGGGGGGCGGTAGAGTGAATTGTATTTAATACATAAAAGGACTTGTATAAATAATTAACAAAAATATGGACCATGTGTAAATCACTGGGCTAAGTATTCAAATATATTTAATTCAACCCTCCTAGGTCTTCGTTCTGTTTTGTTTTGTTTTTGTTGTTTGTTTGTTTGTTTGTTTGTTTCAAGACAAGGTCCAACTATGTAGCTCTGGCTGTCCTGGAACTCACTCTGTAGTTCTTGCTGGCCTTGAACTCACAGAGATCCACCTACCTCTTCCGCCTAAGTACTGAGATTAAAAGTGTACGCCACTACACCCAGTTTACCTAGTTTTTTATTATAATGGTCATTCTCTTCTTGATTGCATAACTGAGAAAACAAAAACTCCAAATAATTGACCCGCCTAAGATCACACGGTAATAAGTCAAATTTCAAGCCTACATTTTTGCCACTGTACTCGTCTTCACACAGGAAATGACGATTACATATGTCCTGTCTAACTAGGTACTATTTGTATTATAATCAGCAAGGGCTGTGGGAGGTGTTTCTTAATGTTTTAATTGTGTGTGTGTGTGTGTGTGTGTGTATGTGACAGAGAGGACAGAGCGGGGAAAGATCATTTGCTTCATACATATACAGCCCTGGGTTCTATTCCCAGTTCTCACACACAAACACGCACGCGCATTACAACTGGGATGAGTACGCCCTTTCCAGAGGATCAGTCCTAGAGATGGAAGGGCACGGTTGTGGGCAGGTCTTCGACATGTAAACTAATCAGGCCACAGCTGTACGTACACTCCTCCACTTTAGCCATCCCAGGCCCCGGGGCCATGCAACTGAAATCTACCCCTACAGTTAGAGCTGATAGAAAGGATTCAAACTAGGCTGTCCTGAACCCGTTACCCAGCTCTGCCTTCTCTTGCCTTCCCAGAGAATCTTCAGTGGCAGTGGCCTAAATGTTCCCTTCTTCGTGACTGCTTCATCTTGATGTCCTTCCCATGTGGTGGCTCTACTTGAGGACTAAATCCTTTCAAATAAAATGAACTTTGTTTTCTTCTATCTCCTCTTTAGCTACACCTGACTGGCGACCTGGCCAAAGAAAAATACAAAACAGCATTACTACTCTCACTCACACTTCCTGGAGGCAATGTGTTTATGAAACTTCCTTATTTTTGTTTTCTGTGTATGAAGGTGTGCCTGCATTCATGTGTGTACACTACCGGGGTACCTGCTGCTCCCCAAGGCCAGAAGAGGGTATCAGATCCCCACGGAACTGGTGTGAAAGGCCATTGTGAGCTGCCCTGTGGATACTCGGAACCCAACACAGATATGCTACAAGAGCAGCAAGCGCTCTAAGCCAGCTAAGCAACCTCTCCAACCGGCTTGCAAGCAATCCCAGTTTGTACTGTGCTCTGTTCACTCAGTTGGTTAGAACCTATGGCTCCACAGAGGAAAGACTGCAGCTCTCACTAAAATGATCTATGGATCCCAAGCAATTCTGACCAAAATCTCAGCAGTATGTTTTGTGTGTATGGATAAACTGATTTTAAAATGTACGTGGAAAGGACAGAGGGACAGGAATAACAACCTGATTTTAAAGTTACAGCTGCCAAAACAATGTGCCATTGGTCAGGCACAGAGCCAACAATCAACAAAAGAGAACACTTCCGAATCAGACTACATTGATATGCTCACTTGATTTCGACAATAGTGTAAATAGTATTAGGACTGGAGCATTCACATCACCTTCGAACAGAATTCCTTACACTGAATGTAGAGAAAGTGGAGCGCTCATTCATTGTAGAAAATACAAAACTGCTACTTCAGGTAAGTTGGACAGTATATTATAATTTTTTAGCATTTTAATCACTTAAAAGAAAATTTAAATTTAAATATATTTTGATCATATTCTTCCCCTCCCCCAGGTTTGTCCAGTTCCTTTCCTCCTCCCTCCCTACCCAACTTCAAGTTTGTTCTCAAAAAACAAATCAAAAGCCCACTACAACAAAACTCCCAAAACCTAGAAAACAAACTCCAACATCACCCAAAAAAGAAAAATAAAAAATATCAAATTGCAACCAAATAAAAATCACACACACACACACACCAAACAAATTAACAAATAAACAAACAAACAAAAAACCTACGTTGTCTATTATGTGTTGGTCAACTACTCCTGAACATGAGATCTGGCCTGGAGTGGTTGATATTCCCTATGTCATTAATGAATGCCCTTGGAGAACTCAAGAAACTAGATATGAAGAAAACAAATCGAATTAAAAGTAAATTTATAAAAGTGTAGAAAGCTGAAAC